AGGGTTTGTTATCATGATTTAATGACCTCTAGTTGAAGGTTTGTTATTGTGACTTTAATGACCTTTAGTTCAGGGTTTGTTATCATGATTTAATGACCTCTAGTTGAAGGTTTGTTATTGTGACTTTAATGACCATTAGTTGAGGGTTTGTCATCATGATTTAATGACCTCTAGTTGAGGGTTTGTTATCATGATTCAATGACCTCTAGTAGAAGGTTTGTTATTGTGACTTTAATGACCTTTAGTTTAGGGTTTGTTATCATGATTTAATGACCTCTAGTTGAAGGTTTGTTATTGTGACTTTAATGACCTTTAGTTCAGGGTTTGTTATCATGATTTAATGACCTCTAGTTGAAGGTTTGTTATTGTGACTTTAATAACCTCTAGTTGAGGATTTGTTATCATTACTTAATGTCCTCTGGTTAAAGGTTTTTTATTGTGACTTTAATTATCCTTAGTAAAAGGTCCATAACTGTGTTATAAGGCAGTTATTAGGTAAGCCCCAAAGGGATTCTAAAACCCCTTAATTTATTCATTTTCCCATTTTTATGAGTTTGACAGCCATTTTAATTTTCTTCCTTGCTACTGTCTCAGTGCCTACTTCCAAAATTCTAATCACAATAAAACTTATAGGGGTTCTTGAATATAATCTACAAATCCATGACACCCTGATATAGGAATTAGATAATATATTGAAAATAGCTACATTAATGTGAAGAAGATAGTCAATTGGGGTGAACTTCAGAAAACTTTGTCAGAATTCAGCAGACCTGTGTGGCAAGTGATGCACATGAAGGCCATCCTGTGTAACAAAAAAATAAATGCCAACTAAAGAAAAAACTGTTTAGAAATTCAATCCTATATTATGAGACGTAAAAAATGCTGGGAATAAATGTTTTTTTTATAGAGGGCTCTTTTTCTAATAATTTCCAGAAATCTAATTCCATGAACTATTCAGCATCACATTTTTAATGTCAAATCAGAACTTTAGAAAATTAAATGTCATTTTTTTTAACTACTAAAAATTATTAAGTACATACAATATGATTGATAACTTACCAAAATGCTTTAAATGATATGTATGATGTTTTGAGTTGTCTTTTATTTTTAATACTTTTAATGAATTAAAAGTTTTGTTTAATTGGCATGTGTGTGTGTGTTTTCTGTGAGCAACTTGAACAGTTAGATTTTGATACTGTTACTTCCATTTCTTCAATTTGTTGTTTGAGATTGTAATACTTTTTTTTTGGGGGGGGGGGGAATACTGTTTTCATTCTTCTAATTTAGGATTTATACTTACATTCCTCCTGGCCTGGGATTTGACTTATTATCTTTTCCAACAACAACCAAGTAGCCTCTGAACCAATGCAAAATGAGTTTTTCACCTTCAAATGCAAGACAGGGTCCTCGACCATCTGGCTGGTAAAAGTAAACTGCCTAGAAGTATAAATAAAGTGTATGCTTATTCAAACTAGACAAAAATAGTACATATATATCTTAGGATTGTTAAAATATTGTTCACTATAAGATTAGGAGGCCTCCCACAGGGAAATCTTGTCAAAATATTAGAAGAATATAAGGTAATTGCTTTAAAAACAGGGCAGATAAAGGGACTATTATTTCTTAAAGGCAAAAGAATGAGAAAGACTTACCTGTATACAGAAGCTATTGTAATTAGTAATGTTTGGATACCTTACTCAATTGTTTTCACCAAAAGTGAAAACTCATTCTTATTCTCATGGACAGGATAGAAGAGTGGCAGAAGATCGTTCATGGTGAGGCAAACATCTTGATAACCTATACGTATTATGACGTGAAGGTATCAAAGTGAAATGGTCTTCATAGCCATCTTTCAAGGCAACAGTGATCTCATTCCAAATGGTTTTGTTGACATTTGGGCCATCATTTGATACATTTACAAAAAGTCTGAGAGACACAGCTCATTCTTTCTTTAAAAAATGCAAATGCTTTTCCTGATACTTGCCTTCCATTGACAAAATGGAAGACCTCAAGGTATCTTTCAGTAACCTGATTTTGTATTTATGTCCAACATATAATAAGTATATCAACTACTTCACAACTTGATCAGTGGTGGTTTCATCATACTGTATCATGTATCCTGAACCACTTTTCTTTATTGTTTATGTTTTCTTTAGCAGGTGTGGTCCTCAGAACTTCTGTAGTCTAGTGCCATTGGAATTTACAGGCCAAGTAAACAGCTTGTGATGGTGCATTCTAGATGAGGCACTCCTCTTTCCTGTTGTTTAAACTGTGATTTTGGTCAGTTGGAAATGAATAATCTGGCTAAAGTCATAGGTCTCAGATGTAGAGGCTGTTGTTTACACTACTGCCAGTCCTTGACAGTAGTGTAATCTGGCTAAAGTCATAGGTCTCAGACGTAGAGGCTGTTGTTTACACTACTGTCAAGGACTGGTTCAGACTTTTCACAATACATCTAAGCCCAGTCTTAATTGAAAGATTTTCTATATCAAAGTATGCAAAATACCATGGAGCTCTTCCATTTTTGAAACCACAGACCAGTTTGGTGTCTATTAATGTCCTCCTTATCCAACCATGAGTCTTGAAATGTACACTTACAATGATGCAGTATATTAATTCACTAATGATAAACTGTACATAACATACCTAAAGATATAACTAGTTTGTGAAACACACACACACATGTATCTAACATATAATTACAATGACTAGTCTTGTTTGAAAAACTTTCAGCAAGGCTAGCTAGATTAAATTCATATACCCTAATAAATTTTTACCTGCAAATATACCATTGTAAGGTATTTAGCCATACAACTGAGACATGCTATAACTCTCACATCTAATCACCTTCTGATGAAGTAAAGGAGCACACAAAAACTCTTAGTTTTTAATAATATAAGGAAAGTACAAAAAAAACCTTTAAAATGCATGACAGGATGTCTAATACTTTTTATTTCATTATTCAGGGCTTTTATAGTTTATGTTTTGAAGTATTTAGTTTGAAATATTATTAGTTTAATCAACTACTTTTTATGGACTCATCCATTGAAATTATTTTTGATCATACCAATGTTCCATATTTCACTCTTTTTTTTGTTTTAGTGTCATATAAAGCAGTGCCACATGAATAAGTACACATTAGAAACATTATTTTGAATTCATAATCACACACTTCAAGTGATTTTCATAATCACTTCAGATGCAGAATCAAGATTTTTAACCAAAATCTTTACAAGTTGAAACTGAATTTAAGTAGTTTCATGATCAAAATTGTATCAAACTTGAATATAGCCCACCACTATTCAGTTTTTATTCATTGACACAACATGAGTTAAACCTTTAATTATAATTTAAGTTAGTTTGAAGTAACAGTATTCATCCTTCATATGCTTTTTTCATGTTCTGTTAGCACCTTCTGACCATAGCTCTTGAATGTAAGCTTAAAACCACTTAATATTTTAATAAAAGCAAACAAGCCTTCAGAAAAAAATATACATTTTGTGCTGAAGGGTGATAATTACTTGTAGAGTGAAAATGTGAAATTTAATGTCATACAAAGTAGTGGCACATGAATAAGTACACATTAAAAATATATAGTGGCATAACAGGGGAAAATTAATATATTAAAGATAAATATACAGATATAGAGAGAACTTAAAAAAATATAGGGATTATATGGCAATACAGGGCCAGTGGGAGGGCTATATTAGTTAAACATTGAAAACAGCTGTAAACAATAAGACATAGAAATAGTTTAAATGCCTTTTAAACATTAGAAACCAATACATCCAACATTACTAATACAAATCTATTATCGTCCAGCCCAACTGACAAGTTCTGATATTAAACAAAAGTCCTCTTGGTCAGTGACTTGTGGGAAGCAAAAGATAGATATAAAATATTGTTTTTGCATACACTTTGATTTCAAATCTGAATTGAACAAATTAAGAGGAGCATGAAAAACATATGCAGTTTATGTGATCTTTATCACAACTGTTGGGAATAAGACTGCTATGTGAAAGAAGCTGAAAACAACAGAAACATGTCCAAAAATTGTTTAATCACTAATTTCTGACACTAGGAAATGGTATTTGAACATCAAACTATAAATTATGAAAATATATATATATCCAGAAACATGGAAAGATCATATACTAGACAAGAAATTCAACGAGCAAGCTTATAACAAGAAAGTACTGCTTGTACTAAAGTTCCTAAAATTTACAAAAAGTGCTCCTATTAATATTATACTGTATGTTTAAGTTCCCCCTAATTTGATGATGTAGTACCTGTTGTATAATTTTGGTCAAAATACATCCATCCAACCTTTAGATATCACTTCCACGAGACTGGAGTAGATTTTCTATGTATAGTGACCTTTTTAACTTGACCCATGACCTTCAAAGTTAATCAAGTGGATAAAAAGTGTTATCTACTTTTTCAATACCAAGACTAAATCACAAAAAATATACTAATGGATGTAGTTCTCTTCTTAAATGTGTGTGTGTGCACTAATAAATATATAGTTTTCCTGCTCTTATATAAGATATACAACATGTACTTTCATTCTTTTTAGTTAAAAATTTTTTCTAATATCCTACAAACTTTAAAGAGAATAACTACCTTGTTCATAACAGACATCAATAGTACTATGATCCTGTAATCTACCAAAACCCTTTGATGTATTTGTTGATTGAAATTACTGCTGTTGTTTCAGTAAACAGGAGTATAGATTTATTTACTTACATCTTGTCTGCCAATAACAAATTGGTTATCTTGTTTAGCATCACTAAGAACAGAACAGTGTGCTGGGCATCCATGGCTGTCCAGCAAAACCTGAAACCCAGTGAATATAAGAAGCGTTACCACAAAATCATTAAAAAAAACTTGAAATTAATAATACCAATGACATCTGGCAATCATGAAAATCACTTACAATACTTAGCAGATAAAGAAACCAAGAAAATTTTATCAGTAATTACAATGAAAAAACTTTTTCTACCAGCTGTCCTGAATAGTCACACTATTGCCTCCAACATGAAGAACTTCATACTTTCTATGTATACACAGTCAAGTTTTGTGCTTTGACATTACTTTTTATATTTGTATATGATCATTTGTGTAACACTTTTATAATCAATGAAAATACATTCTCACTACACATGTAACATAATCAGTAAAATAATTCCATTAATGCGAGTTTAAAAACTGTTTTTATCAGCTAGCATTAGTTAAGATACTACAAGTTTTCACACATGAGCTACTTTACAAGTTTAATACCACAGTTATCACAGTTGATGTAATGAACTACTTCATTTAAAATTTTATAACAGTTTGTTTTGCATCATTATAATCAAAGGTAGGTATGAAAGGAAGAAAAATGAGTGTGATACCAACCACATTTTCTTTATCTTTAACAGATAAAGAAACTGAGAAAACTTCATCAGTGGTGACAACAAAGAGAAAACTCTGTCTACCAGCTGTCCTGAACCCTAATCCAGTCACACTAGTGCCTCCAACATGAAGAACTTTATACTTGCTATGTCTGTTGGAGTAGAATTAATTAATATTTATATATCTACAGATCATTTTAGTTTTGTGCAGTTAAACAGTAAGAACACTTTCTAGGCTTGAAGATTTCAAAACACTAACACACAAATAATGGTTAAAAAAAAAACTACTTTAAATATACCATATTACAAATACATATGGAAACAGACAACAAAGTTGGTATATAATTCAAATATGCACAAACATAAGCACAATGCACTATGACACAAAATATGAAAAGACAAATTAATATATTATTCAGAACATTAATGCTTTCATACTCCCATATAATTTATCAATGAAAGATTGTGGAGTGTTGTTCCACATATCCTGTAACACTTTTCACAAGTTGTTTGGTTGTCATTTAACTTCCTAAACATCCATGTTACCCTATACTGCTTCAAAGATGTTCAAATCAGAACTATGTGAAGGCCACAACATCTTTGCAAGTGTTCCATCAGCCTCTTTATGCTCCAAATAGGTTTTCAGTACACTGGCTGTATGCACAGTAAAAGAACATCCACCCAGCATCATGTACTACAACCATATCTTTACCCAAGTAATTTCTTCTAACATTGCAACTTTTCATAATTTATTTAAAAGTAAATTATCTTATATTTGATAAGTACTCATGTGTGCTTAAGTTAAATCAGTAGAGCAAGCTAAAAATTAAACAAATGGATCTTATTATATTATTTTCTGTAGTACGTATACAGTACCCTGGCATATGAATACGAGCACCCATTCGAAAAGGCAAAGCTACCAGTAATGGATTTGTTTCTGTTCAGTTTTGTACTTGTGTTACATTACAGATTGATGTTATCAATGTCAACTCTGTGGCATGAGTGCCTATTTTATTACAAAAGGGCACTATATACATAATTATTACACATGCAAAAACACTCACATTGAAAAATTGTTCCAAGTTATTTCAATTATTCATTAAAGTTACGTTTAGTATTTTATTAAACAAACTTCCTTCCTGATTATTACTTTAATTCTTCATCATTCCAACAGATTCTCTCATAATTGTTTAACCTGTTCCTTGCATAACTATACACATACACAAAAACTTGCAGTTTAATTATCACACTCATGCACAATCATTTTTTTTAATATTATGAAGCTGAAAAATTAGAGTAGCACCTAAATGGCTTCATTTCAAGTTGAATGCTATTTCTCTTCACTCATCTGGTTAACTCTATTCCCCTAGTTTTTCACAATTTTATGTTTATGATTTCATATATCACAGAAGTTCTATTTCTAGAGATAAAACTTAATTAAAATATATCAAGATTGTTTCCAGTGTGTATTCTCTCAATCATTTTCAATCAAAATTTAAACAAAAATCATTAATTACCTGTCTCTAGTTATGTCACCCCTGAAGAGCAATATATTCCCATCATCTAGACCAACTGTCATTAAACTTGAGTTCTCATGGACAGCTAATGCTGTCACCTAAACAAAAAACAAACTACACATAAACAGCCATAAAAATACTTTTGTGAACTTTTTACTATAAAACAAACACAAGTACAATATAAACACTTTAGAGAACAGCAATGAGCTTCAAAGAAACATCAAGGTATTTACAATGAATAAAAGTTTGAAGAAGGAAACAAAATTCAAATCTGCTGTTCCCAAAGTATTCATACAAAAAATCTTAAGGATATCAGTAACAGCTTGGGATTATAACTACATACACCTGATTTCTGTACTCAAGCTTGGAATGGGACCACAGCTAAAAACACATGTCAATACACAAAACAATACCTCAAAAATAATTTCATCTGTATAATTACCAATTCTGATTCTGATCTAAATCACAAAATTTCATTGTAAATTAGAGCATAAAGTATTTTAACTCCTTTATAAGAAAAGGAAATGTACATGTAATTACGCAATGACAAAGTAATCCAGATAATTCATGTAATATAAAAACAGAACACAATCACTACAGTAAAAAAACAACAACATAAGAATGTGTTATTTCAAACTTTATATTTCATGGATTTTCTAACTGAATGATTCTTATTTCTTATGTGAAATGGGTAAATTTCATGCAAATCTGGTAACAAAAAACATTTTATTGTATTTTAAATTGAATG